TTTTTCTCCCCTAAACATTTTACATCTGAAGCCTTGAGGTCACATTTGCGTTGTGTGGCAAGATGATACATTAACTCTGCATTTTGTTGACCATTAGTGAACAAGGAAAACATCTTCCTTCATGTGAAAAAAACTCAGTCCTCATCACATTTTTCAAGCTTCCAGTGGAAAATAGTAAAAGTGAAGCTGGCTGCACTTTAACTGTCCAGGTAAAATTACTCTGCGAGTCATGCATGTGGAAATAACCAACCATAGTGTATATTCGTTAATACAGAGGGGGTCATTTAGTCATTCTGGCAATTCACGAGACATTCGAACAATAATTAGGAACCCATAACCGCCAATATTAGTGAAACATACTAGAAGAAAAATATGAACCTCTCAAGAGAGTTTCTGATATTTGTAATGTCTGCATACTGCAGTACTTGAATACATACTCATACAGTATCGTTTATAGCAAATAACTGAATTATTTCATTTATTTAGCAAAAAGCATGCTGAATAGAAAAATGTCACTTGTATTTTATCGCGTAAAGTGACAGTAAAATTCTTTTTATTTTCACCTGTGGATCATCTCTTAACGACTGTGATCTATATACAAAGGCATGACAAAAACCAGGAGGTTTAGGCATCTAAATCAATAAAGAGAAAAGTGATTGCCTAAAACTGTTGAAACTTCAACCAGGTACCTGCACAAATATAAACTCTTCCTTCAAGTAACACCTCTCGAAGAGGTACAAAAGAGACAATATGAGGGTGTCAGTAGGAGGAATAAACATTGGTGTTATATTTGCTGTAGAACAGGACCATCTCACTTTAACTGCTATTTTATTTGAAAGACAGAAAGAGATCTTGAGGTCTGTTGTGAAGCGTAAAGAGGCACCAAATCACGTTTCTAACCACCATTAGTCGATAAACCTATCTCTGTTCAGTCATGATGCACTGTGAGTACTTAAGGAGAAAAATCTATACATCAACCCTCCTATTGTCATTTCCACGGAGCTAAATCGTCTGTACAAATAAGAGTTAAAAAATAAATTATCAGACCTAAATCAACCCTCAATTCGAAGCTTAAAGATGCTCTCAGGAGCAGAGTGAACGGTCTTATAAGTAACATAGTATTGACTTTTCTTACACCTTGCATTAGGGGAGTATTCAAAAAACAGAAAGCCCACTTCTGCTGATGTGTCCTAAATCAATGCTACTGTATTAGCACAGTGATAGTCTGACTGGATGTGGCTACATAAAGAATAAGAAGATGAAGGATTGGAGAGTAACTTCCTGCTGTTTGCAGACGATATGGTGCTGCACACTTTTAATTATGAACTCGCACTAACATCTGTGCAGGCTCCACTGACGCACAACAAAAAGATTATCACCATCAAATGTTTATCCTTTCATATAACATGGATTTTCTTTTTTATTAACGGATTACTGGATAAAGAATGTGACTTAATATGGACAGTGTCCATGCTCAAATTCAGTCATTCAAAGAGAGACTATGCAACTTTAACACAAATAACAAAAGCGTGTGTAGTCCTAATGAAAAGTTTAATTAATGAGCAGTAAACTCAACATTTTCTCATTTTGATCTGCTCAAACATTTTGGCGTTGCAGCTTTACTTAGATTGAGTGTAGCCACGAGCGGCTAATCTTATCTTTTCCTAGATCTCACCCTTTTATTGATATTACAGTCAGTTGCTGACTTTATGACTTGTCTATTTCTGACACAATGTTTTGGCTTCCACCCATTTACTGTCACCAGTGGCATCTATAGCTTCAGTTAAGCAAAAGATACATAGTCTTGCTTTAAAATTGACCAAATGTTACACTGAAAAATGAAAAAGACATAAGGGCTGGAATAAAGTACTTGTCACAGAAAGTCATGATGTGGTTTCTCCTTAGATAAATAAACGTGTTTCCCCTCAGTTAGGGAATACTGCAAAGGGTCAGCCACTGGTTTTGTATCCTGTTGTAGTCATGAGAGTTAGTGAGTAAACTCTTCTGTCAGTCGGCATTTTACCAAGACTCCAGCACACAGCCACATGTCAGACAACAATACATTTATTTGTTTTCAGCAAGGTTTCTTTTTTATAATCACGAAGGCATATACTATTTTCTCTGTATATTAATTGTTATATATACAGTATATCTATATATATATATATATATATATATATAGATATATAATATTTATATAGAAACAAAAGAAAGAGTACATTTTTGCTGAATAAGATTGAAGAATATCAGCAAAGGGCATTGTAAACCATGGTCCATCAAACCGGTGAAAGGTGCGGTAGCTCGCCCTTTCCCAACTCACCCACAGTAACAGATTTGCATAGGCAAAAATGGGATTAGCCCTTAGACAGTGGATTCCTGAATTCTTTATAGAGATGCAAAATCTAGTTCAGCTCAACACAATTAAAAACAAACATACATACAAACAAAAAATAATGTCGACTAGGCCAAGCTCTCTTTAACCCCTCTGGTCATATACATAGTCATTTTTCTGTGCACATTTTTGTTTACAGTGTTAGGCTTCAAGTAGATCTAAAAACAACTTGTACATTGACAACTAGATGTGAAATAAATTAACCAACATGAGAGGTAGTGAAAAGCCTACGGAGACGCTTGTTGTTGTTTTTTTATACAAGGGAAAAATAATAAAACGTGTCAGTAAGGCCAAAGCTTCACAAACCTCCTCCAACCAATCAGGACACTTCAGCTCACAACCTTTTTTTTTTGTAGTCGATAAAACCACAGCCACGTTTCAAAATCCCACTCACTTAAACCCATGGAAAGTTAAAGACACAAATCTAAAGTCAGCGATGACACTACATCATCGCTTGTAAAATCTACATTTGAAATGCAGTTATTAAAAATAAACAACCGTGTACTTTTCCCCACTGTGTACAAGTCACAATAAATTATGAGGAAAGGACGTGAGGTTCTCCTGCGTCTGTCCTCCCTGTAAACCCTGTAAAGTGCTAATGGAGTTAGCACTGGGCAGAGACTGGCTCTCTGCTCACACTGAGGACAGTTGGCTCCCCGCGGTTATTCAATAAGGTACACACATCTCACTATTTATAAATGTAAACTTGGTTTAATTGCACCACAATTTCATTATCTGGTTGTTGGTGAAACATTCTCGTGTTAAATTACTGTGTAGTCAGCAACAAGGAGACGTAGCTGTACTGTGCAGAAGAAGACATTTTCTGCTTTTTATGAGTTACAGGCATTCTTCTATTCAGTCAAAAAGTTATAGAGTTGTCCAAATGCAACGTCTAAAGTGTGATTTCTGATCCCTCAGTATCAGATTTGGCTAGTTACTCTGAATTCTTATGGATCTGATAAAATCGGTGTAAGCATGCAGAGCTCTTCATTATAGCCGCCAAGCAATATCAATCAAGGTAGTAATGTATTGCCCATAGCATCGTTTCAATAAGGAACTTTGCAAAATGTTTGGTGATTATTAGTTTAGACTCATCTTCTTGACTTTAAAGTGTCAGTTTTACCGATTTAAAATCAATATTTGACAACAAAACACTTTTATTTGACTTGGCAGATTAATCTGGTTAGCATTTTCAACACTGCAAATATAAATAAGTGTTGAGGAAAACTCAACTATGGATAATCTTTTCTAGCAGAGGACCTGCATTTCTATTATTCTACTTTTTTTAAAGATAAAATAAATTATTTCTTACAATATTTTATTTAAATCCTCTAGTTAAACTGGCAAATGTTAATTGAATACGGCGAGATTTTTGAATAATCCAACAGTGGCCTTAAACATTTTGAGTATCCCAACAGGTGTCATGGTTAGTCATTTATAAGATAAACTTTTCAAAATGTATCCAACACAATTGCACTTCATTAGTCTGTGGACATCCTGCACCGTCTACTCTTTAATTTGATCTAGACCAAACTTGGCACATGGACTTCAGGTAGTTAAAAGAGGTGGCAACATGGACACCTAGATTTATCAATGAGGAGTGGCACTGTTTTAATTGACACTTTAAGACTGCACTAACCACCAAACCAAGAGGTCAGCTATCCATCATGTTATACAATGAATATACTCGGAGGCCGGGTTCATTAAACAAATTAGCATATACTGCACTCATGCACTTTCTACTGCACACCCACAGGCCAGGAGCAAGGTTCAAATGTTCCCACCATCTAAAAAAACAAAATGTCCTTTTATATACTACAAAATGTTAATGGGACATTTGGCAAGACCCTCTTAAAGTTATTTTTTTTCTACATTTTCCTGTTAAGTGTGTAACTACACCATACACACACATAGCAATTATCATCGCATGCTGTGAAATTCAGATTAGTAAAACAAACCAGAGTGTGTGAGGGCTGGCAGTTGGCTGGAGGGTTATCATTGGCTAGCACAGGAATGCTGACTGCTTGCCTAAAGCATGCTAACACCTAGTTAGCCTTTTTTCGAGAAGGCTAGCATGTAGCATGACTACGCAAACGTCTTCGGCCCGGCACGGTAGCTTGTGAGCATTATAGAGTGGCGAAGTCCCTCCCTTTCCGGGGGACCTCCATGGGACCTTATTTCGGAAAAAGTATGTATTGAAGTCAGATTGAAGTCAATGGAGAGAGAAAGATTATCTTTTGATCCCGTTTGAATTGTGCCACGAATTACACATATGATGTTTGTCAATTTAAAAGATCATTTTGCAAGTCAAAAAAATAAAAATGTGCCGTAAAACTGTGAAGTAACACATTTTTTTTGTGTGAAGCGCTCAATGAACTCTGGTCTTGCATACGTCACCAACACCAAGATGGCCGTCACGTTAGCACATTTCACCTCTTTCTTTCAGAATGAAGCGAAAAGTATTAAAAGAGGTGAAAATCACTACAAGTCTGGCCATGTTGAGAACTGTACATACACAAAAGGGGAGTTAGTCGGTTCCAGCATGCGGGACCGGCTTTACAAGGTTTCGGTGAGTAACACGAGTGTAATGTGTAACGTTAATGTCAGCTAGCTAAATTCACCTACGCGACTCTGGGATTTGTAGTCTTTCTAGTTGCGTATTTTTCATAGTCTTATATTTCAACAGTTTTAAGACAAACTGTGACTTTTTTGACATGGAAATGATTTTTTATGATTGTCAAACATCTATGTATAATTCGTGGCACAATTCAAACGGGATCGAAAGATAATCTTTCTCTCCCCATTGACTACAATACATACTTTTTTCAGAAATAAGGTCCCATGGGGCGGAAGTAGATGGGCGTGACTTCGCCACTCTATACCAACCCTCTTCACTAGCTCTGGAAAAAAGGAGTGTCTTGAATGGGTGGTAGCTAACTGAAGGACAACCATACATTCTCCCAGCTCAATCTGCAGGAGAGACGGACATGCACCAGAAATACAGAGTCTCAACCTGGTGACCTCGTCACATCTGATATCACAGCATCTTTAAAATCATGTTTGGCACCCGGGTTACGTATCTGCAGCGTGAAACTGGACAACAAACTGCAGGGACTGCCATGTAACCTACAGCATCTAAAGGTAAAGCCTTACAGTCAAAGGCCAGGGCTCCAAAACCCTATCAGTTGGATCAGTGCCTGCTGCATCTGCGTATGTCCCCCAACCAGTTTTTCCTAATTAAAACACTAAAAGGTAAACCCTATTTATCTGCGCAAAAATGTCATGATGCATCTGCAGTCAACGTGGGTCTATTTCAATTCTCTCCAGCGGTGGTTTCTTCCCCCCCGTTGGGCACCTTGTCAGGCTGTGATGGTCAGAGTCGGAGGGAAAAAGATGGGAGGTAGGGATCGTTGGACAAACTGTGGTTGCTTTCCAGAAAAACTCCAGCAGCGCCTGTGCTGCCTTTTCTTACATGTAAAGGCATTGTGATTTTCTCGGTGTTGAGATTTTTTTGTCTAAAGTTCACGAGTTATAATAATACATGTAGCTGCCCAACCACAATTCTAGCCCTTACTTCTCCCAGTTAAAGAATCCTAAAGAAGGAAAGTGCTTGGACGGACGGACGGACAGTCGGATGGATGGGTAGGTGCTGCTGCCTTTACTGCAGAAGCCATCAAATCTGCTCAATAAAAAAAACTGCAGTATGCTTCAAATTGGCAGAAGTGTACTTTTTCCCTTCACCGAATAAAGACACCCAGACAACGAGACAGGACCCCGTCTAAATACATCTCAATATTCAAAAATAGTTGCAGTCCGCGGCTTACATCGTCAAGCTACTGTAGAGAGAGAGAGTTACATGCAGAGCCAGTGCTTCAATTGGTTAAACGGGCAGAGACACCCCGACTCCCACCAACTACTAAGTGTCATGTTTGGACAGTGAAGAAATAAAACTTTTTACACATTGGAGGAATGTGACAGAAATAGAAAAACAAAACAATATGACAGAATGAGTTTGAGAGAGAGAGTATTAAAGTGAGGATAGAAAGCATGAGGTCTAGATATTACAGTACAGGAACAGTTGGCGTCTCCTTTTCGTCTCTCTCTCTTTCTGTCCCCACCGCCTGAGGAGTCTTTGTCCACAGTAAACCAGCAGCTGGCCGTCAGGTTGGCCATTTCAACCGACAGCTGACAAGTGGGTTGGCCAGTAACAAACAGCACAAATCGCTAGCAAAACAATCACTGGCCAGCATTCATGGTCTTAAATTGACCAAAAACCAACCAGCAAAGCCCGACCTCGCTCCAGTGGAGAACTGGATATAAATTGCTTAAAAAATATAAATAAAAAAACAACCAGCTATCTTGGATGTCGTTCAGTCTTTTCAATCAAAAAAGAGGGAGAGATTTTTCCAAACCCGACTTCTGGCACCATAGTAGTATTTGAAATTTAAGTAGTAGTCTCGTTGGCGTACGATGGCGATGAGGGAGGGTCGGGGGGGTCTAGGTCTCCAGGCAGGTGCGCCTCTTGTTGGCCAGGAGGTCTCTGTAAACGGAGGAGTTGAGGAAACGGGGGAAGGAGTCGCGGTGCATCAGGGTGTAGATCTGGAACTGGGCCTCCTCGTACATCAGGTTGCTGGGTTCCGCCAGGGTCAGATTGATTCCTTCTCTGACCCGCGAGTCCAGACTCACCTGAGGAAGACAGATGATACAGGCTCAAAATGACAATGCTAAGACACTCTGATCAACAATGGTTTACCACTTTCTTCGTATAGCGTGTTGGCATGTTAACATTGAAGTTTTGCTAACATTTAAATAGGATTAAAGCAAAAAAACAAACAAGGTTAATGGGAATACTTTGAACTTTAGTGAGCACCAGGAAAAGCGCTATATAAATCACATGTATTATTATTATTATTATTATTATTATTATAAACCAAAGTATTTTGACAATTTGACACATTTTCATGATAAAGGCACAACATAGAAGGTTAGTGAGAGGCATCTTCTAGAAAATGAATGTCCAAATGTAACCAATTTCATAACAAAAATGGATTTGAGGGGTGGACTGACTGAAAAACCGGCCTGCTCTCATCTATCCCACATGCTCCACTGAGATCCAACATCTAGTTTCAGGTGGCCTGTGGAATTGCCAGTCAGCTGTTCCTAAGGCTGACTTCATCTCTGGCTACGCCTCCCTGCAGTCTCTGGATTTCCTTGCTCTCACTGAGACCTGGATTACTCCATCCAACACATCCACCCCAGCAGCTCTCTCCACTGCATATTCCTTCTCCCATATACCCAGACCAACTGGCAGAGGAGGTGGCACTGGTCTCCTGCTCTCTCCCAAATGGAGCTTTTCCCTCTTCAAGCTACCTAACTTCACTCCTTCCACCTTTGAATTCCATGCCGTCACAGTAACCCATCCTATACAGTTAACCATTGTTGTTCTCTACCGTCCACCAGGTGCCTTGGGGGACTTCTTGGAGGAATTAGATAATTTCCTCTCACACATCCCTGAAACTGGCCCTCCCGCTGTACTTCTCGGAGACTTCAACCTCCAGACAGGGAAGATAGACGAACTAACATCTCTGTTAACCGCCTTTGCTTTCTCACTGTCTCCATCCCCACCGACTCATAAAGCTGGCAATGTCCTTGATCTCATATTCTCAAGGAACTGCGCTACTTCTAACCTCTCTGTAAACCCGCTCCACACATCCGATCACTTCTTCATTTCATTCTCTCTACCCCTTTCCAAACATAACAAACTAATTTCTTCTCATCCTGCACTTGTCCGCCGTAACCTTCGTTCCCTCTCCCCCTCTACCTTTGCCTCATCGGTGCTCTCAGCCCTCCCTCCCTCTGACTCGTTCCAACTCCTGCCTTCAAACTCTGCTGCAGAAACTCTCCTCTCTACTCTCTCATCCACTCTGGACTCTCTCTGTCCTCTCACATCTCGGCAGGCTCGTCAGTCCCCTCCTGCTCCCTGGCTAAATGATGCACTGCGTGCTAATAGAACCGTCCTTAGGGCAGCAGAGCGGAAACGGTGGAAATCCAAACACCGTGACGACCTCCTAACCTATCAGGCTCTCCTCTCCTCTTTCTCTGCTTCGATCTCTCAGGCAAAAAGCACTTTCTTTCAAGATAAGATCCAATCTTCCTATTCCAATCCTAAAAAACTATTTTCCATCTTCTCCACCCTCTTGGACCCTCCAAAAGCCCCTCCCCCCTCCTCACTTCTGTCAAGCGACTTTGTTACCCACTTTGAAAAAAAGGTTGATGATATTCGCTCTTCTTTTTCTGACTCACCGCTGGGTCACCAGACCCTCCTTCCACCAACACACTAACCTCCTTTTCCCCTCTCTCTCCAAGTGAGGTTCTTACCCTCATTACCTCTGCCCGCCCTACCACCTGTCCTCTGGACCCTATCCCTTCAAACCTCCTTCAGACTATCGCTCCTGATATTCTACCATTTCTCACCCATTTCATCAACACTTCTCTAACTTCTAGTCACTTTCCAAACAGTCTAAAGGAGGCAAGAGTAAACCCTCTCCTAAAGAAACCCACTCTCAACCCGTCTGATGTTATAAACTACAGGCCTGTCTCTCTCCTCCCGTTCCTGTCTAAATCACTTGAACGCGCTGTCTTTAAACAACTCTCCTGTTATCTCCATCAGAATAACCTTCTGGATCCGCACCAGTCTGGTTTCAAGGCAGGTCACTCCACAGAAACTGCTCTCATTGCTGTCACGGAGGAACTGCACACTGCCAAAACTGCATCCCTCTCCTCTGTCATCATCCTGTTGGACCTGTCTGCTGCATTCGACACGGTGAATCATCAGATCCTCCTTCGCACTCTCCAAAAACTTGGAGTTTCAGGCTCTGCACTTTCCCTCCTTACCTCATACCTGAAAGACCGTACCTACAGGGTGACTTGGAGAGGGTCTGAGTCCGACCCTTGTCAATTAACTACAGGGGTCCCTCAGGGCTCTGTTCTTGGTCCCCTCCTCTTCTCCCTGTACACAAACTCACTCGGATCAGTCATTAGCCCGCATGGTTTTTCATACCACTGCTACGCTGACGACACCCAATTAATTCTGTCCTTTCCCCGCTCAGAGACCCAGGTCATCGCACGCATCTCTGCTTGTCTAGCTGACATCTCTCAGTGTATGTCTGCTCATCACCTCAAGCTCAACCTTGACAAGACTGAGCTGCTCTTCCTTCCAGGAAAAGATTGTCCCACTCTTGACCTAACAATCAACATCGGCACCTCAGTTGTTTCCCCGACTCAGACTGCAAGGAATCTGGGTGTGACCCTAGATAACAACCTGTCCTTCACTGCAAACATCGCTGCTACAACCCGTTGCTGCAGATACACGCTTTACAACATCAGGAAGATACGTCCCCAGCTGACACAGAAAGTGACGCAGGTTCTGGTCCAGGCTCTCGTCATCTCACGCCTAGACTACTGCAACTCCCTCCTGGCTGGTCTACCTGCATGTGCCATCCGACCTCTGCAGCTCATCCAGAATGCAGCGGCTCGTCTGGTCTTCAACCTTCCTAAATTTTCCCACACCACTCCGCTCCTCCGCTCCCTTCACTGGCTTCCGGTAACTGCTAGAATCCACTTCAAGACACTGGTACTTGCTTACCATGCTGCGAATGGATCTGGCCCTTCGTACATCCAGGACATGGTTAAACCGTACACCCCAGCGCGTGCACTACGCTCTGCATCAGCCAAACGACTCGCTGCGCCCTCGCTGCGAGGGGGACCCAAGTTCCCATCAGCAAAAACACGTGGGTTTGCTATCCTGGCTCCAAGATGGTGGAATGAGCTCCCCATTGACATCAGGACAGCAGATAGCTTGCACATCTTCCGGCGCAGACTGAAAACTCGTCTCTTTCGACTCCACTTCGAGCGATAGAACTATTAACAAAGCACTTATATACTAATAAAGGACTGGCTTATCTAAAGCCAGTTGAGTAGCACTTTAAATGTTTGGCTCTATGAAACCTGATGTACTTATATGATTCTGTTTTCTTCAAGGTTGTGTCTTCCTGGTCGAATGTACTTATTGTAAGTCGCTTTGGATAAAAGCGTCAGCTAAATGCAATGTAATGTAATAATGTAAAAAAACAAACCAGCTTTACCATCACTAGAGCCATTTTTCTAACATATGGTTACAGCTCACATTTGCTGATCCAACACAAATACAACCGGTACCTCTTTGGGTGATAATATGGACACGTAGTCTTCATATATGATCCTGGACTTCTCCTCCACCACTGAGGGATCTGTCTCCTTCCTCAGCTCTTCACAGGCCAACCAGAACAGCAGATTGTCCTCGCTGTACTCCGAGCGCAGGAACTCCCTGAAGACCTCCCGGCCCCCCAGCGAGCGCAGCATCAGCTCAAAGCTCCGAGCCCACGACAGCGCCTCGTCTAGAGTGGGTTGTCTACAGACGTAAAAATGAGGACATGCATTTGTGAAAGATTACGAAACAATCACACCACACAAAAGATTTGAGGGTTTGCTGGACTTACTGTTCTTCTGCCTCGATACTATCCATCGTGGTGCAGGTCTGTCGCTCACTCCTCTCAATCCTGTCCTCGGTCCTGGAAACAAGAATCAAAAGAAATGATTAGCTCAGCAAAACAAAAGTCTGGACACGATTGAAAATGGATTTCTCCCATTTAAGTTACATATTTTACAAGTTGTTGGCTATATTATTGTAGAAACAATGTGTTAAATATTTCATTTCTAAAAGATCCAAAGTGATATTTAACAATCACCATGTAAATTATAAGCATTCAATAACCTTGGTACAACCCAAGGAAAAATAACGAAACACCATTTCCAAACAACTTCATTTCTACCTCACTGGGGATATCCAGAACCGATGGACAGTTCAGTATCAAAGCTTATTTATCTTGATTATAGTCCACATCGACTCTCAAAATACCCAAATGCATGAATAGTTTTACAATTGAATTCAGAACATCAGTAGCAGGTGAACCACAGGGCAGAACGAGCAAATAAATGTCCGCCACAAGTTTCAATTAACTTTATTTACACTGACGGCATGCACCAGTGACTGTCAACAAGCACGGCTGCTCTGGGTTAATAAACGTTATTTTTCTAAACCTTCCAACCACTAAGCTACATTTGTGAAACAGTACAAAAGGACGAAGGTAAAGACTTAAGAGGCATCGCATTATTTGTCGTGCTCAGCATTCACCTACTTAACAAGCTCTGATCACATGGTGTGAATTTGGCAGGTTCTTAAACTGATGTCCTTTATTTAACAATTTCCAAATTCTTTTTTTCAATTCTTTTTTTAGGATGCTTTCGTGTTATGCTTTATCATGTGATGTCACGAATGGTGGTTGATGATCTTTTGATACACTGTTATGCTCTTTGTGCACAGCAAATTCCACTGGGGAAAATAAAAGTTTGATTCATTCAAATATAGGATCAGCAGATAAAAGATGACCTGATATAATCCCAACAAGGATCAGGATCCAGAGATGGATGGAATTTTTGTAACACATAAAAACAAGTAAATCTCTCTAAAATAGAACAATTATTTTTAAAGACGTTTTAAGTGTTATTTGGGTATTATTTTCAATTTTACCAAAATTCTATTGCTTATTTTCCCCAAATGACAGTCATATGCATATCCCATGTGATGGTATTATGTTGGTATTGACCTTTCTTTTGCAAAAACATTTTTATTTTAATTGTATTAAATGTTCACATTTTTGGTTGAGAAATACTTAAACATGTAAGCCTGCATTTCAAAATGGGGACATCAAGTTTAAGAGGGGAATCATAAAAGACTACTAAATTGCACTAAGGGAAATGGAGGAATGCATGCTTGAGGGGAATTACTTAAGAGTAAAATCTGGATATATCCATCTTCATCTTTAATTTGAAGAATTCTGTCTCTTTTTCAAAATGTGCTCTTTAAACTTTATGAAAGGTCAATGCTAAAACGCTGGAGCACCCTATGAAGATGTCAACCACTCTACAGTATGCAGACTGAAATGGGGGGCCAAGGTCCAGCAATAATCAGCCCCTAATGCACTAATCTCTCAGATCAGAAACCTTCAGAACCCTAAACTTAATTTTCATTTAAGTGATCACTTAATCAAACATTTGATCGCTGAAAAATAAGTCAGAACCAATTTTTATAATCAATACATTTTTCAAGAACTTTTCAAGCAAAGAAACAAATATCAACTCGTGAAAGCCTCTCACATTGCCTGCATTTCTTATTTGTCATAGTAATCTGAATGTCTCTGGGTTTGGTGTTGGACTCGTGTCGGACAAAACAATCAATTTGAGGACATCAGGTTGGTCTATTGGAAATTCCAATAGTAATTATTTACAATTTTCTGGCAAATAAATGCTTAAATAAGGAATTACTGATCAAAATGTGGTGAGTAGATACAACAATTATTAATATTTGCATCACTTCAGTTGTACAAAACTTGTTGAAAGTCCATAAAACAATAAAGCTACAGTACAAACCTTTATGTAAACACATACAGGGTAGCCTATCTGTCTGTCGTAGCTCGGTCACACATGCTGAGTCCACAAAGCAACACACACTGAGATGTCTATTTCTGTCCCACCACGGAGGATGTTTCCTTCCTCTTGCTGTCTCTTGTCAAAGTCCCCATTGTGCGGCGGTAATGCGCTAAGCTAGCCACAGCCCCGGGCGCCCTCACAATACAGCTAAATATACAGGCTGTTCTTCACAGCTGTTTTGCATGTGATGTGGTGATGGAAATAGAAGGAACCCCAGCTAGGGCCTTGTGTGAGGGCAGATGAGGAGTGGTTAGAAAGTAGAGAGAAAAAAGAATAAATAAAAAACTAAATGTAACACTATGTCGTCGTGACCCATTAACACTTTCCTAGTCCCTCGTTCCCTAAAACTTAACCAAAAAGGCAGATGACTCACACAAATACATCCACTGTGGTAGTAAAAAGAGAGCATTCAGTAATTAACAGCCATAATGCTAAAATAAATAAATATATTCTGTACTGAAGTAACATTTCCAGGCTCATTTTGGATATGTGACACCAGCGTTTGATTGAGAAACACACAGCGCCTTCACTGCAGGCCCACAAGCTGCCACCACTTCAGATGGAGTGGTGTGAAAGAAGCAGCACATTCACCATTCACTGCCTGAACACAATGTTTCATTCACTGCTCTCTCCTGGCAAGAGTGCAGCGGCGGAGATACACTGCAGCTACTGGACTCAGTGCCTTGCTCAGAGGTTGGCAATCTGGAAGTATGAGGTTTAAAAATGTAAGGCTGGAACAATATCCATTATCATTTATCTAGCAACAGATAGTGGATTTGTTTACTCCATATTTAAGCGATAGAAAACCTAATTTTGATAACTTTGATTTAATTTAATTTATTCTGTTTCAATATTCTGGTCAAACAGTATATATTTTTGTGTCGTTATAAATACAACTCTTTGAGCTTAAATCAACCGACTACGCCTATGTTTACGAACGGACAAACTGCCCATTATTTTCTCGATTAACGAACCGATTGTTGGGTTTGTAAAATGTTTACCAAAGTCTTAGTAGACATATTTAAATTGCTTGTTTTGCTTCAAAAGCCAAATCAATTCCGTTTATAGTCACAGAAGATTAGTCATCATTTCGGGGAATTTCATATAAATTAAGGCAAGGCAAGGCAAGTTTATTTATATAGCACTTTTCAACACAAGGCAATTCAAAGTGCTTTACAAAAAATGAAAGACATTAAGAAAATGGCATTTAAAATCAGTCATTAAAAAGAAAAGCTAATAAAATAAACATTAAAAGAAAAAATACATGGATAAAAGTTACAGTACAGTCTAAGATATGAATAGTTCAATTAAAAGCAGCGACAAAAAGAAAAGTCTTCAGCCTGGATTTAAAAGTAGTCAGAGTTGCAGCGGACCTGCAGGTTTCTGGGAGTTTGTTCCAGATATTTGGAGCATAATAACTGAACGCTGCTTCTCCATGTTTAGTTCTGACTCTGGGGACAGAAAGCTGACCAGTGCCTGAAGACCTGAGAGATCTGGATGGTTCATAATTTAGCAGGAGGTCAGAAATGTATTTTGGGCCTAAACCATTCAATGCTTTATAAACCAGCAGCAGTATTTTGAAATCTATTATTTGACACACAGGAAGCCAGTGTAAAGACTTCAGAACAGGAGTGATGTGATCCACTTTCTTAGTGTCAGTGAGGACTCGAGCAGCAGCGTTCTGAATCAGCTGCAGCTTCCTAATAGATTTTTTAGTGAGACCTGTAAAGACACCATTGCAGTAGTCGAGTCTACTGAAGATAAAAGCATGGACAAGTTTTTCCAAATCCTGCTGTGACATTAGTCTTTTAATCCTAGATATATTCTTTAGGTGATAGTAGGCTGATTTAGTAACTGTTTTAATGTTACTGTTGAAACTCAGGTCAGAGTCCATGACTACACCTAGATTTCTGGCTTTATCTGTTGTTTTGAACATTGCACACTGAAGCTCAGCGCTAACTTTTAAACGTTCTGCCTTGGCTCCAAAAACCATTACCTCAGTTTTATCTTTGTTTAATTGGAGAAAGTTCTGACACATCCAGTCATTGATTTGTTCAATGCACTTACTCAGTGTTTGAATTGGAGCATAGTCTCCTGGTGAAATTGTTACGTAAATGTGTGTGTCATCTGCATAGATGACACACACATTTACTTACAACAACTTATTTTGTTGTTCTTCATGATCTGAGCCAGCATGTAGATGTTAAAGAGAAGAGGCCCCAAGATGGAGCCTTGAGGAACCCCACATGTCATATTTGTCTACTCAGATGTGTATTTACCTATAGAAACAAAGTTGTTTCTGTCCTTTAAGTAGGATTCAAACCAATGTAGAACTGTTTCCTAAAGTCCCACCCAGTTTTCCAGTCGGTCTAGTAATATGCTGTGGTCAACAGTGTCAAACGCAGCACTGAGATCTAATAATACTAACACTGAAGTTCTGCCACTGTCTGTGTTTAAGTGGATGTCATTGAAGACCTTCACAAGAGCAGTCTCAGTGCTGTGGTTTGGACGAAAGCCTGACTGGAACACATCGAAACAACTATTTAAATGCAAGAAATTACTCAACTGTTGAAAAACAACTTTTTCAATGATTTTACCTAGAAATGGGAGGTTTGATATGGGCCTGTAATTGTTCATTACTGAAGCATCTAGATTATTCTTTTTTAAGAGCGGTTTAATGACTGCAGTTTTCAGGGCCTGTGGAAAAATACCTGAGTGAAGAGATTTGTTTACTATATGAAGTAGATCTGAGGCCATGCAAGGCAAAACATCTTTGAAAAATCCTGTTGGAATAATATCAAGGCAGCAGTTTCAATGACACAGTTTTCTGCTGAATGAGATAACACTGAGTCCATGACCCACTAATAAAGCCCCTTCCCTTTGAAGTTATGTAAACTGGATATCAGTGGTGACGCTCCTTGGAAAAATCTCATGCAACATTTTGGGAAGTTTTCCTTATCCAAACAGAGGGTCTACAGATGGAGGAAGCCCTTGTGTGTGTTTTTTTTCAAATGCTTTTCTTGGAACTTAACATCAGCGTAACATCGCAGATAAGATTTGAAGCAGCAACTGTTTAATGTTTCAGGCAGAGGGGGATTTTCTTTCTTCCAAATACAACTATCAACTATAAAAAAGAATGAAGTTGTAAAATGATAAGTGTTCGAAAAATAAAGAAATTGCACCCATGAATGTGTGAAAGGATGTCAAAGTCAACTTTAATGTCAATCTTACTCAGTTTGTGTTTACAGACAGAGAGATCGAAATGACGTTTCCAACCATCCCGAATATATGTCAAATAACACTTTGGAATATAAACTAGCAGCAATCTCTCTATTTATATGATTTTTTTTTAATTAAATTTGTTTAATTCAGAAACTGCTTTGGCTGGGTCGTTGAATGTATACTTATGCTACTTCTAACAATTCAAAATGTAATTAATGTATGAGGTCAAAAGTCCAAACTCCAGATTATGAATTACAAGCAACACTGCATATTGTTTTTCAATAGTAAAAAAGTTATTGGCTACTGAGGAAACCTGCTTAAATTCAGCAGAAGATATGATACATAGTTGCTTCAGTCTGCAAGCCCTTGAAGTGGCTATACTGAAGTTATTTACTGGCGAAATTAACATCTATACACATATAGATGTTATTAACAGTATTATTTTCCTGGGCCACAGTCTACCTGAAATACCAAATTATAAGAAAACACAGAATTAAAGTAGAAGAAAGGTAGAATAAAGTAGAGTATAGTATAGTATAGTATATAACTGCATAGCAGTATTTTCCTACCAGAGACACTTGCAGCAGCCGCACCAGCAGAGGCAGCAGGCGTTGGGTCGGGGCTGTCCGGGGGCCGGGGGGGGGGCCTCGATGTGCGCCGCCTGCCTTTTTCTCATCTCCACTCCACTCACACTGCGGGGCTTCACAATGCACACAGAAAATAAACACCGTTAAATACCCTTCAAGTTAATAATAACATAAAAAGATATTACAGTTTAAAATGTGGTTCCCATGTTTCACTTTTGGTTCTCAATATGACTTATTAGAGGAAAAACATAAAATAAATAATGTGTGATCGGTGTGTGTGTGTGTGTGTGTGTGTGTGTGTGTGTGTGTGTGTGTGTGTGTGTGTGTGTGTGTGTGTGTGTGTGTGTGTATGTGAGAGAGAGAAAAAGAGAGATGAAGCGAGAGAGAGAGAGAGAGGGATCACTCAAGCAGGACAGAGATGATTTCCTTCCTTGTACGGTACGAGGGTTTCTGACGTCCAGCCAAGTCTTTCAATTGGCTTTGAGGGACACAACACACATTTCAATGGAGTGGACCCAAACAGAGACACAGGATCTACACATCACATGCACACGGACAAACCTATGCAGTAAACACAGAAACTGACATCAACCTGCTTTTGCATCAGGGGAGATGAGGATCCTCCCTCTATATAGGGACCCTGTTTCATGTGTTTTCTTTAATGTAGAACCATGTTATTAAACTGCATACATTCTCTTTTTAAGGAGAACTGCCTGTACGCAGTTGCATGACTATCTACCAAATAACTGTAGAGACATTTGAATCAAAACCCCCGATGTTGGCCCCAGAATAAAAGTCAGGGGATCACTATCCTATCCTATCATCATTAAGTCCTATCATAAGTCATTACGATAACTCATCCGGGGACCATGAGTATGCAAATTACCACATTTTGTGCCAATCCATCTATAGGCCATGGTAATGTCTTCAATTAGCTTGTTTTGTATTAAAACTTTATACCTAAAAAGAGAATAGTTGTAGTTGTTGCTTGAAAAAATACTAAAATTCCTTATAAGTTATCAAAATATTTGCAGATTAGCTTTTCAGTCAGCGATTAATAGACTGACCTCGCTGTTAACATTTTTCACTCCGAGTTATTTTAGGAATATTGTGGAGTTAAGCTGGTCGATGAAAAGTCCATAGAACACATTATATATATTTATTATTGAGTGAAAGACTCAACAAAAAGGACCAGTTTTGTTTTCAAACGCTGAAATGTTGGAAGAGTCAAACGGTATTACTATAATTGTATGACTTTCCACCATCAGCTGCTCTTAGACTGTATAATGTTTACAAAAACCTTACATTTGAACAGTTTAACGGGCTTTCATGAGATAGTTCTCCGCTAACACACTGCTCACTATCTAATAAAAGTCACTGGACGATGTGCCAGTCATGCCCCGGGGGTTTCATCTGGTCTTCAGAGAGGCTTTTGAAGGAGTATGAGGAGCAAACAACACTGATGGGCAAACAACCCTTAAGGCTACTCAAAATAAAAATACCACTCTCTAAAAACTGACTCTAATGAGATAATGATACACAATATAGTCTAGTCTGGCAATACTATTGTTCCTCTTCCTCCAAGCAGAACATAATAACACTCGGCTGGCTTTTTACGAGCTAAATTGGCCGGGAAAACCCTGATCCAGCTATAACTAAAACAGCTCTGTCACAGTCCAACAGCCAAAACCAGGAAACACTGTGAAAATCTGACGAAGAAGAAGATGTCAGAAACAATTCATCCTCTGTGACCATATAGAGAAACTCCACTTCACAACTTGGTCATTTAAGCTTAATTTCACTAAGGGAGTGAAAAAGGAACCTAATTACTTAATGCATTGAAGTCTTGTTGGCTTGTGAAATGAATGAAAGAGAACTCTTACCTCCAAAGCCATAATTAAAACTCCTTATTAAACAGTGGGCTCCAGTACCAACAGTGGAGTTTTCTATCTCACTTCGTCTGCAATGCATACACACATAGGATTCACTACAATAATGACACAGTGCATGGCAGGTTTAAGGCTAAAACAACCAGCCTGACATGCAAATGTTGTCACCTGACCAGCAGAGTGGTCATCAGTTATTCAGCGACCATGCAGCATCCGTGGAAAACCAGAGTGCTAAATGCAAACGACAGCGAGGGAGTGGCTTTGTTGTGAGCCCGTAGAGGGAGGCCGCAATGACAGGACATGCAAATATGAAGTGTAAATACAAATGCACCCAGATGAGAGGAAAAAAAAAACATTGCAACAAGATCTGCCACAAATGCAAAGGATTTGGAAAGTACTCAGATGACCCCTCACTTTTTTCGACATTCTATTAATGTAGACATAATTTAGGTGGATTAAGGATGCAATATTTAAGACTAAAATATCAGACATCACATCAACCAAAATCCTTTTAATGTAAATGTACAGCTCTACACACAGGCTAAGAAGCGTATTGTATAGAATAAATGATGGCATTGCCTTCTGCTGCTGTGTTCCTGTAGAGCTCCTGTGGGGCGAGTGACTGAGAAAGTAGCACGATCAGAGGCTTGAACCCACCCAAACCTCACAAAATAGCCCAAAAAAAAGTTCTGCTAGGAGAGATTTGTAGACGATGTAGATATTTATGCAATATAGCAAGTAATGCATTCTTGTGTCGTTGTTTGAAAATCAAACGTTTCCTGCAGCTTCACTAAAAGTGTTTTTAACTGGGGCAACACAAGTTGACTTTTTTTTAAAGTAGTCACGGGAAATCCAATGTTTGTCAGTGAGCTTAACACAAACTATAATTCGTCAGACATGCGTCTACAAAACAACAGCTGCAGGTACACACCTCCAACTTCTCAACGATATAACTACTTTCACAACTACTAATGCTGAGTGAAGCAACAAATCTGATCATAGTTGCTCACAGAGTGTCTGACTTAAATAATAAACTGATTGTATTCCAATACCTGTAGTATTAAACCGTTTCCCACCAGTGGATAAGGTGTCGCCAAAATCAACAAGTATGGAAGCCTGGAACACATTTCCCCTTTGAACAAGCAAGGTGGATCATAGTTTTCTACATGTGGACAGCCATCCATGATCTGACTGAGCAGGACTCCTTACTAATGACAATACAGAATTTGCAATGAGATGTATTTTCATTTGGGAGTATCTTTGCTAGTTTGTGTAAGTCAATAATGCTCTTGTGGAAGTTTTAATATAAGTTTGCTGCTTTTATACTCAGAACCTCATGCAGAGGTGGAAGACGTACTCAAATCAGATTTGTACTTAAGTGAAAGGAGTGATACCACACCGGACAGAAGTGCAACTTACCATGAATTAGTGATTTTCTGGAAACAGGTGAGACAGAGCAGTCATGGCGTGAGGTAATAGGTTGCTGGATGCTAGCAGGCTGGTTGAAGCAGTGAGGGTCTGGGCGTCTGATTGGCTAACGGACCGGCTGTCTGGCTCGTTGGAGGGGAGGGTCTTTTCACCACAGGGAAGAGAAGTTACTCGTCTCACCATCCCTGAAGACACTGGAGCTGAGGTGAAATGTAACTACTTCCTCTCCTCGTGTCCTGATTTCACTCGCCGTCGCCTCCTAGGCTTCCTCAGATCTCGGTGAAAGGGTCATTTATAGACTCGAGAGCAGCGAAAGTACAGCATCTGCAAAGCACACAGGACAAAGAGTCAGAATCACAACAGAACCATTTGATCCATCAAGTAAAGGTGCAGAAATGTTTGGTGACAACGATGTGGAGATATATCCACTGCTTGTGCAATGACATAGTGCATACTGTATGATGCAGTGAGAGCAGAAACTACACTACATACTTATCGCCGCATGCTAACGATCTTATATTGGTTCTATCAGCTGATATACATTTGTATACATCAACACTTTTGATAAGAATCCCTGAAATGTGTTTTTGACCAGAAATGTTCGTACTCTACTTTAGTTTTGAAAAAAAAGTGTAAATGCTCTCTTGGGACACATGAGGAAACAGCCACACTGTTTAAGGCTAAAACAATTAGCTTATTAATCCATTACCTACATTTTAATGTTGTAATAATGTTGGTCATCACATTATAGCTTAACTTATAGCATCTAGTGCTATTTTATTTTGATGTTATTGAAAAGGTATTTTCAAAAGGTCATGTTTCCTTTCCATCTTTGTAGAAAAATACAATTTAGAGATTTATCAATAATGGCAACAATAATTTGTGACATTCCAATACTTTTATCAAATCTAACTCAACCATAACCTTGGCATTTATGTATTTATTTTTCTATGATGCATCTCCCAACATATGCACTGAATCTGTACATCTGTAATAAGCTCAGTGATGTAGTCGAAAAAGGATTAAATAAACTGCATCAGGAAATGCATTATCATCATGATGGAAAAGGCTATTCCCTGGGTTTATGTGGGGACTAGGCCTCAGTTTAGACACTCATCATGAATAGATTAGGCCAATCGTTGGTGTCACAACCCGACACTCAATCACAGTCAGATGCTATTAGCATGATGTTGTCCCTGACGGAAACTGACTAAGAGCCTGAAGGAGACAGAGCAGCTCGGACACTCTCATGCTGCCTGTTTTCATGTTTTCTGTTTTTACATGAATTACTGTTCAGACAATTTGCTTCCTCATAACAGCAGCTCAGAAGTGTTCACATGTTGACCGCAACACTGGATACTCAGAAACGGGTTGCCAGGTAGGTTCACTTCACACGTACGAGGAATGATCTTTTATGTCTTTATGTTGTGAACTATCAGCAGGCTGTTACATTTAGTGACTCAGATCAGGAAAGGTCATTGAAGAACAAACGATTATCACCGATAATCACTTATATTACTTATGAAACATTTGTTGTATTTATATATATTATATATATATATATATATATATATATTTATATTATAAAGATATGGCACAGCAAGCTGTTTCGATACTGTTAAACCATTCCTGTAGGAGGAGCCTCGATAGGTTTGGAAACAAAAGTTCCCCTTGTATATTAGAAGTCTATGAAGAGTGATTTTCTTCGTAGCTGTGTGTAAAGAAAGGATAATGTGTAGTACTAGTAAAGTTCCCAGGAGGAAGATGGCCATAGTCACTTATATGCTTCCAAAAAAAGATGATAATTACCAAAGTGTTGGAAATGTCAACATGAAAAAAATCCCAGTGTCAATTGATAATGAAAGTAAGTGTTATTTTGCAGACCTAATACAATATTTGACTTATAAGCTATTGAATCATGTTATTGATGATTTACATAAAAGCAGCTTGGCCTCCACATCGCATCACAACGATCTATCAAAAAAGAATAAGCCCTATAGCCATTTTAGCTCTATGAGATCAATTAGGATATCACTCACACTGCATTTAGGGATCATTGAAGTGTTTGAAGTACATCACGTAAAATATATCCACCCTACAAGCACACAACCTCAATAAGTAGATACGAGAGCTTGTATTGTATAAAACCTCTCTGATGGAAGAGTAAAAGCTGAATGAGATAAATCAGAAAGTGTCAGGATGTAGTTGCTCCCTTCACTCAAAAGGTCAACAACAGCACAACTTTATTGTAAGAAAAACGCGTTGTGGCCTTCATCAGATCAGGGTCATCCTCCTGTGACTCAACACACCCATGGGAGACTGCAGTGTGGGTGCTCCCTCAGCTGGGCACGACACCCAGTGTCAGTGCATGACAGTAAAGGAATAAAAAAACGTTGATAGACACTCAGCTAAATCAACTTTAAAGTGAGGTGGATGCATGATGCAGGGAGCTGTCGCAGCACCGTTGCATCTGCCCGAAGGCCCGTGCATATCTTCAGATAACAAGTAGGCTGATCGGACCCTGTGCAGTAGCTCTGCTAGCTGCTGGCAGTTTGCATGGTTCCTCCTGCAGCTGTCCGAAACATCTGAGCCGCTGCAGGTCGAACCAGCCTGGAGAGGAGTTCCCCCTCCCAGCTGACACCTCGGTGCCATAACGCAATTACAGAGAGGGCTGCACGGTGCTCACTGTCGCACCGAACATTTTTCAGGAATCAAACACCACCCACTTTCTCCTCGCTAGCTTTAGCCGACAGATCCGCTATCTCTTTGCAGCGAGAGGAGGAGGTGGAGCAGCAGCTAGCGCCGTGCTAACGTCAGCTAGCCTGCCCGTGTGGAGCTTTTTACGCACAATAATCAGCATCTTACCCCATTTGCGTCCGGCTGTCAGCGTCCTAGGGTGATGGGTGTGAAAACGCGACGTCCCGATGCTTATTCAACGACATCGTAAATGGAAATCCTGCGGTGTAATGTCCATCGCCGCTGTTTTTCTGCCATCCGCCCCACTTCAGCACCGATCGCCGCCGAGCCCCTGGATGCACTGCGCAGGCGCGCTGCTCCGGGGCTGCGGAGCGAGAGGATGCACCGGAGGCTCCACACGTACAGGGGATAATGCAAAGAGGGTCACTATTACATCACTGCTGTTGCACAACAACTACAAAACACAGGGTATTCTTTATAAAACCGCTGCTGCATTCAGTTTTATTGCAGTATATTTTGGGACAGAAATCCTTGAAATATCTGAAATGATGGAGAGATACGCAGTCACTTAGTAATGACCCCAAGAGACCATAAGAGGAAATGCATCATTAGGTTATAAAACAGTAAAATATATATATTTGAAATGCCTCCATGACCCACACACACTGTGTCATGCAATACATGGTGACCTCAGGAGCTGTGTCACCCTTATCAAATCACAGACTATCTTACATTATGTATCTTTAAACACAGCCTTCTATTAGTTTTGTGTATGTTTCTATAAGGGGCCTATTCAGATAGTGACCATACCACATTTGTGTATACTAATAAAATACTTGTTTGTCTACTTTATGAACAGATACGTATGTACATCTGAGAAAACATTTTTATTTAAAAATGCACTTGCACAGGGCTTTGTCAGCTGTATTAAGTTTGAGATCTTATAAATGAAAATGTGAAATAAGGGTGCTACAGAGATGGATTTCAGAAATATTTTCTCTGTTTTCAATTGGCAATCCTTTATTTTAAGTCAAACAACACGGCCTGTAAATAGGTGTTTGATTATCATTATTATTATGTTTTTTTTGGAATTCATACTCTAGTGCTGAGGCAGCTTTTATAAAACACTACCAATCCTGACACAAGAAAGAAAAATAACTCTGGTTATGACTTCACCCATCCATTAATATATTCATTTGTTGAGTAATCTCTGCTACATATTATCAGAGACCAGACCGTCTTTTTCTGACTCAATATACTATTCTGTAGCTCATGAAGTCATGTATCATCTACTCAGTTGAAGTCTAATTTGTAAGAATACGTCATTATTAGTGCAAACATTTGAATGAGTGTCTCTCTGGGTTTTTGTGAGTCAGAGAGCCTCAGTAGTGATGACTGTTCAAACTAGATTTTCCTACCATTAACACAGGGGGGCACCAAAACTCTGCTCTCTCTCTCTCTCGCCCACACACACACACACACACACACACACACACACACACACACACACACACACACACACACACACACACACACACACACACACACACACACACACACACACACACACACACACACACACACACACACACACACACACACGCACACGCGCGCGCACACACACACACACACACACACACACACACACACACACACACACACACAGATGTACTGATGCAGCAGTGACAAATCGTTATGCATGTACGTAACCATTGCGTGAAAGGAACATGGAAAACACATTATTACCGCTACAGTGGCAATAAGAGGCTTTTATCTGACAGATAACACACTTTGTTGCGCGAGTGCATAGAGAGGCATTCTCATGATTTGGTGTTAATGAAAACTAGGCTAAAGTGTGCATGGACTTCATACTGGAATAGACATATTGAATATTTTTACATAGGCTATTTAGCGTTAGTCCTCCATCTTATGCATCAGATACACTGAGACATGAGGGACTCTACAGAGGGGGGGTGCAGGGGAAAAGGTGGACCATGTTCCCTGACACCATTGGTTCATTGAAAGGGATCTAAAGTGGCTTGGATCAACTCCTTTTTTCTTCATGCACTGAGGACTGTTGCACTGATTTGCATGTGAGAAGGTGAAGACAGTGCTCCACTTCATTGTGGCTCTCAAACACGCAGCAGGGGTTAGAGAGGGGAGCCTCCATAAACAAGACAACTGCGTGTCAGTGTGTCTAAGGGATGAACATTTAAGTCCAAACACGTTTGTGCATTGTCTGAATTATAATACTCTGCATGATCAACTAAGCAAAAAAGACCCTTTGTATGCAAAAAAATCAATATGTGTGGATGTGGGTATTTGTTTGAAAGACATACGATCAAAAGGGTTGGACAGTTTATGAAAGGTAATCCATTAGGGCAGCAACTAATTATTATTTTCATTATTAATTGATTTACAGATTGTTTTTTTAATTAAACAATGAATTGGTCTTTAAAATGCCAGGAAAAAAAAGAAAGACAAAAAAGGCCATTCAATGTTTTATGGTGCAAGGGGAAGTTTTGAAATGTCTTGTTAGGTCAGTCCAAAACTTAAGATATACTTAGATATGATATAAAATAGAGCAAGATTTCTCCACATTTGAGCAGCTAAAAACTGTTTTATGCCACCAGTAATAGCATGGTTGGCTGATTATCTTTCTTACTTATCAATTAGTGCACTGATCCTTGCAGCTCTAAAACCCCTCTAACAGTTGTTGAGAGACTTCAGTCTGGATTGAAGCACTGGACCGACAGACAGTGGCCTCCCTGGAGCCTCACTGCTGTGTGTCACTTCAATCACATCCCAACCTGCAGACCATAACACCATCTCTGCTCCAAGACACTGTTCGACTGTTATCTTCCAGCCTCGGGTCATTGTGTTTGTGTGATTTCTCAAGTTGAGCTCAGACTGCCTTCTGGGGCTTTCTCTGGCGTTAATTCGGTTCACTGCTGTTGCAATATATGTGTGTGTGAGATACAGCGAGGGAGAGAAGGAGGAGTGATGGACCTACAGCCTGTAGTTATACTTATGGTACCTGTCTGGTGTCTGAAAGTCTCACAGAGAATGCTTCAGTGCTGAATGCGCGGTTACAAGAGCATAGTTTTGGGAAATCAATAGCTCACAACAACGGCAAGTGTCTGTGAATCCCCTGTGTGTGTGTGCGTGTGTGTGTGTGTGTGTGTGTGTGTGTGTGTGTGTGTGTGTGTGTGTGTGTGTGTGTGTGTGTGTGTGTGTGTGTGTGTGTTGTGTGTGTGTGTGTGTGTGTGTGTGTGTGTGTGTGATTCTAGGAAATACAATGATTTTAACAGCTTGAGTGCGATTCCACAAACAAAATCAAAGGGCAGTTGATTTTCATCTAGATCAAGAAGAGTCAAAAATAGTATATTGTTCCCGTTATGTCCATTAAAACACAATTTAATAATGAATAAACAGTGAGCTTCTAACAGCTGTCTGATCCTTTCCCCAGATGTGTGCATATCTAGCATTTTTAATATGCCAAGGAGAAAAAACCACCTAATGAAAAAGAAATGAGATGGCTGTTAAAGATGCAATAGCTATCTCTCTCTGTCAGAGGCTCCTGTTCAGTAAAGCATTCGGTATTCACTCCCTTTTCCACTGAGCTGGATTTGAAGCCTGCCCAGACGAGTGTGAAGTCTTTTTTTAGGTGAGAAAGCTAGATAATATAAGGCTTAATAATCCCTGGCTGTCCCTAGCGGTAAAACTTCATTTTTTAATACGTTGAGAGATTCTGGGCAAGTTTCATCCATTAACGGTTACATAGTCTGCACTCGGCATTTCAATTTGCAGTATCTCAACAACCTCTTTCAAATCTGCTATCCTGTCTGGGTTGTATACTTAGTCTCTTCTAAATTAGATTTTTACTTACATAACTTTTCAATCAGACCATCGTTGTTCATGAGGAGTTCAGTCCACCAGTATTATGAACTTATGCGTTCACGTTTACCAGATTGTAAGACAGTAGTGTTCCCTGTCTTCTCCTTCAGATTTAGGTTGACATTTAGGGTCTTGAATGAAATGTCTCAACAACTCTTGGACAGATTGCTTTGACATTAAGTCCTTTTAAAGACGGTTTTGTAGTTTTCCTTTTTTCACCCAAAAACACAGTTTCTGGGAAAGCAACAATGGTTCAAGGCTGGATACAAACTCAAAATTGTTGATATTATCTCAGCGGGACAAAGTGACAGCTCAGAAATTGCCCTTCACATTTCAGCACTGCCTCCCGCTGAGTCTCGTCTTACCTCAGGCCTGACTGATAAAGACTATTAGTGAGAAGCAGGTGCAGTATTACCGCTATTTTATATCTCTATATGATATCAGATTGATGTGATTTGATTTAGATAATATTTTAGATAGAGGTATTTTTACAGTATAACATTGCTTTGTGACACTGCTGTTGCCTTCTCAATCTACTGCCTTGGTGGAATAAGACCTTATACATTCACATCACAACTTTATGGATTTACTTTTGTATTTACTTTGATATTTGTATTGTCCACAGAGCTATGAACACATCCATGCGATGTATTCTCTAAGCAAGAAAGGTATTCTTAATCATGGGGCAAGCATTAGTAATGATGATAGATGAGGTTATTATCAGCTCCTCCAAAGAGTTAGTGTCGTCTATTTGTTTTGTGTGTCTGACAGCAGGATAACGGTGAAAAATAACAGATTTTCATGAAACTTGGTGGAAGGGTAAAGCATAGGACAAGGAAGAACCCATTTCATTTCTGAGTGGATTAGCTTTAGCAGTAATCCGTGCTCTCTAAGTGCCTCTGTAGAAACAGTATGTGGGAGTCTGGGTCATGACCTGTATGCTGCTGCTACTATGCCCTACAACACAGAACAGCATGAAAGGATAATTAAGGAAAATATGTATTTATCGGTATATATAAATGTAATATTTGTTCACTTTAAGTAATGTAGTATAATGATAAACCCTATCCACGACGTACTCTATATAGTATCTCACTGAGAAAGAGAGGAAATAAAAAGGGCAGAGCTGCATAAATAATATATCATCTTCAACACCTTTTTCAGATTGGACCAGAGAAACCTTTTCTCACCATCAGTCCTGCTCTTCTTATATAAAAAAAAGTTGAATGTGAGACATTGAAGCAGCCTGGCAGTCTTTGGGGAGATAGCTTAGTGGGAACAAAGCTCTCCATTTTCACTTCGTGCTGATGCTGAAACTGAAGCATATTATGAAGGTAATGTTCAAGCTACACAGTGAAGCACATGGTTAATAATATCATCAGAAAATAACTTCCCACATGCAGTGCTCAAACGTCTGAACCTCATAATTAGG